TTTTGCCATGGATATTTTGTGGGTCAGAAGATAAAAAGTTTGGGAACCACTGGTTTAAACTAATCCGTTTTCACTGCATATTGAGTCCTTTCAGACCAGGATTCAACACTAGGGCTCAGAGCGTTTGTGTGAACAGAGCTGTGTGTGTTTCTTTAAAACAACACACACTGCCAACATCCTGTTGTGTGAATGTGTGCATACTTGTACTAAAACTGCTTTAGTACCATGATGCTCTTACTCTTGATCCACACTCCTAACCAGTTGTAATGATGTAAACAAGTTTGCCAACCACCAAAAGAAAAAGAAGCTGAAAGCTGACTATAAACTCTGCTCAGCAAAGTTGGCAGGAGGAGGAACAAACGCAGCAGTTTGATAAAACATAAACAAACCAACAACACACAGGCTGATGTTTGTTATCGGCAGCAGGACGCTGACCTCACTAAGCTGAAGACGATCTGACCACCTCACCGCTCGCCTACTGCAGCTGTTCAGGCTCTGTTTCACAAGTTCACATGACAGTTAAACTCCTCTGGTTTTAAACAGAGTGGTAACAAGTATAAAGGGATGTATTGATAATGGTGTGAATGCTTCATAGCATTCACACTATTGAGATCATTTTTTCTTCCATATGTTTTTTGGCATCTACGTAACTTGTTCCACAATTTTTGTTCGATTTTAACAATTCATGTATGAAAACGTTCAGCTCATTTATGACAAACCTGCAAAGACTTTTGGTATTTCAGCTGTTTTTACTTTTTCAGCTAATTCACATTTTTTAGCCACTATTTTGCCATTGAAAATGGATCGAACTGTTTTCATCATCCTTAAAATCCTTTAAAATTGCTGCAACGTAAGCTAATTTTTAGCTGTTACTAGCTAAAGTTAGCTTTTTAAAGCTAAATACACATTTTTTGAAGCTAATATAACTTTTTTCTGCTAAGTTCTGCAACCTCAAGGTATGTCTGTATAGACATAAAAATAAAAAAGTGTCTTGTAATTAGGAAAACGTAGTAGATTGATTTTATAGACACAATGAATATTAGATTAAAGAATTTCCAGCTACTTTTGAACTATTTTACTAAAAAATTTGGCTGTTTTAGTTATTTAACTACAAATTGACACTTTTTTGTACATTTATGCATTTTTTCTACCAATTTTACATGTTTTTTTCCACTGTTTGGGTGCTAATTACAACTTGGGGCTGCTACATTTAGCTTATTTTATGCTAATTTTAGCTTTTAACTATAGATCTGCTTCTTTTTGCAATTCTTTTGCTTTTTTCTACTGTTTGAGCTTTTTTCTGCAAATTTGTGGTATTTATGCATCTTACAGATGTTTTCTTCTATTTTTAGCGGTTAGCTTTTAGCTGTTTTCTGCTTTTTCAACTACCGTATTTTTCGGACTATAAGCCGCGACTTTTTTCCTGAACTTTGAACCATGCGGCTTATAGTCCGGTGCGGCTTATACGTGGATTTTTTCTTCAGCCACCAGGGGGCTCTTATGCTCCATTTGCTTCAACCACTCGCTTCAAAAAAAGAAAGGAAAAAAAAAGAAAAAAGCGATCACTTCCAGAG